CCTTTTTAACTAACAGCAATTATTATATTTAATTTATTATTGTGCCACAAAAACAATTAACCATGTATTAATTGACTAATTAACGGTATTATTATAATGACCAAGGGCGTGTATTTGGAACATCGCTGTGGCAAGGAACTGGCCATTAACATCGTACTGACCATGTGCGGAGTCCTACCTGGAATAGTACACGCGTTGTATTTACAGTATTATAAATAGTAATCTTTGTTATTTTATAACAGATTTTGTTTAAATAATACAGGAATGTTAATTAATGAAAATGTAATATTGTAATTTTTATTATAAATTTTAATAAACTAAACAAGCAAACAATTTTATGTTACTTATTATAAATAACTTAATGGCATATGTGTTAAATAAATATTAATAATTTTTATATAAAATATAATTTTGGTATAACTTATAAATACTTTATAAATACACCACAAAGAATAGTAGAATATTTTTGTATTGTTAGAATACATTATTGGTTTTCATAAATAGTTATTACAAATAAATCATAATTAATTAATAACAGAGCAAATAGTTTGTTGATTAATAGCCAAAAAATTATTTCACATTAATTATGCAAAATATTTATTAAAATAACATTTTTATTGCATATAATTTAAAACATAAAATCTAATGAAAATGTTTTCTTTTGTTGTTTCCGGCAATTGATTAGTAAATTTGATATAAATTAAGTCAAACCTTCATTTCATATGCTAATATTTTTTGATAACTATTAGCATACAAATCATTTTATGTATACATTTATAACTTGGTTAGCTAACAAGTAAGTCAGTCACAGCAAACAATTTTTAGCAACATCAAACAACCAACAATGTCACACCCAAATCCCTGCTTCAGTGTCAATACAGCGCTGGAAACATCTAAATTAATCTTGGACATCATTATGCCACCAGTGGTACGTACATCTCATAATAAACTCATGGCAAATTAAAGTTACTTGTTACTTGTGTATAATTAACACCAGTTATAGTTTACTATATTTTATGTATGAGTTTTTCCTTGTGTCACAAAACAAATTAACAATATATGAATTTAATTATGATATTATTTTAATAACCAAGGGCGTAGGTTTGGAAAAGGGCTGTGGCAAGGATCTGGCCATTAACATCGTGTTGACCATGTGCGGAGTCGTACCTGGAATGGTACACGCATTGTATTTACATTATACCAAATAATAATTTCTGTTATTTTATAACGAGTTTAATCAATTCAAAAATATTAATTAATTAAAATCTAATGTAATTTTGATTACAACTTTTAATAAATACTTTTAGAAGCAAAATGTTTGTCATTTATTGTATATAACTTAATGGCAATTGTATTAAATAATAATTTTAAATTATTAATTTCCAATTATTATTTAATTCAAATTATATGAAATATATAGTATTAATAAATTTAATATTTTATTTTTTAAACATAACATACCATATATTTGGTTTTCAAAAATAATTAAACTCGTCGCAATTAATTTTCTAAAAATATTTTATTTATAACAGATTTTAATAAATAAGTAAACAAAATGTATTATATAAAATATTTGAGTAGTTAATAAATAAAAAATTATTATTAAAAAATATAACTCAGCTTGTTCAATATAAATAAAAATTATATAAGATAAATGCTAATTTATATTTTTTCTTGATAATCTAATAAATATCAGCATAATAAAAAACAATATAACCGTTAAGCCAATGTAAGCAAACTCGACATCGAGCAAAATATGGGGCCTATGCTCGATGAGGGGCCCGATCACAAAGGGGGCAATTAGGGGACAGAGGGCCGATACTATGGACACAAACGCTGATATTTTATTAGTAAACGTCAAGTATTTGTCGGCAAAAGCATAATAGGATGGAAACATCGATGATAATCCATAACCTAGATTAATTAAATTCAACATTAGTGAAAATGCTAGCATAACTATTACTATTAAACAATATTATCATTAATATTATTATGAAAATTAGGTAGCATAAAAATTTAAACAAAACAAACATGGCTACAAACCAATAAAACCGTTGACCACCCATAAGATGATTCTATTATCGGCGCTAAACTGTAGGCCAATTAACGACAAACAGATTATGGTAATGTGATAGCCGAGCATAATCTCGGGACTCAACCGGCGGGACACGTATGAAGAGACTAGCGGTCCGGCCGTATATACAGCGGTCATTAGGGCCATCATATTGGCCGCCACATCAGCCGACACCCGTGCCGGCCCGTACTGGTAGTATGTGGTACAGTAACTGAAATAGGTTAGCTCAACACCCGAGTAACAATTCAAACTTAACGCAGTCAATATGATCATGATTAGCCGATATTTTGGATCTAGTTTATTTTTCTCATCAATAATTATTTCACTGCAATCATCATTATTTTCCGGCCGTTTATAGCGTTTTACAAAATACATGATCAATAATACTGTCGGACCTTAAAAAATAATTTATTTATTAATTAATTTAAAAATTTATACCTAGCTTATTTAA